GCGGGCGGCCCGCGCGCCCTCCGTCTCCGCCTCCCCCGCGGGCTTCGCCTCCCGCCCGCGCGGGGCCCCAGGGCCGGCCTGCGCGGCCCGCTTCCGTGGCGGGCCCTCCCGGCCGCAGAGGAGTCGCGGCTCCCGCGCCGGGGCGGGAGGGAAACTTCTGCCGAGTTGCGGGCCGGAGGCGCTGCCGCCGCCGCCGCGTCGGCAGGCAAGGGGCCCGCCGCGCTGCCCGCAGGCCGGCCGGCCGCGGGCGGAGAGGGCGCGGGCCGCCCTGGTGACGCCTCCGCCGCCCTCTGCTCGCCTGCAGGGCTCCGCGGACGTGAACGAAGATGAACCCTCAGCAGCAGCGGATGGCCGCGATCGGGACCGACAAGGAGCTGAGCGACCTGCTGGACTTCAGCGCGGTAGGATTGCCTCGAAGGCTTCTTGGGCTTCTCCACGGCCGAGCGCGGCGGGGCGCGGGGCGCGCTGCCACGGCTGCTGCTTGGCCGGGCGGGACCGCCCCGGGCCGGAGGTTCTGGCCTCCGTGGGCCGGTCGCCTGAGCGGGCTAGAGCCGGCCGGCCTGCGGGAGCGAGCAAACTGTGTGCCCGCGGAGGGCTGCACGAGCTCTTTTGCAATAATGCTGTGCAAATCTGATCTCCCGGTCTTAGCTGTATTTGGTAGAAGCATATCTCTTAATTTTGGTGGGTCCCAGGGTTCAGGCTTCACTTTCTTTATTCCCATTTTGTACTGCAGTTAGAAGCGGTAAGCACATCATGTCTCACGTTGGGGTTTTTTTTTTTTTTGCAAAAAAAATTCCTCGATTAAAAATAAAATTTAAAGTATCTTAATTGTTATAGTAATTCTGCATACTGTAGCCTTCAATAAGATTTATATATTTAGTAAACAGGATATGTCAATAACCTTAGGTTATTTTGTATTTTATGAAACTGAATGTTAAACATGATTAACAGGATATGTTAAAATGGCTGTGAATATAATTTTTGTGCGTTCCTGAATGAATGGATATCCAATCCATTTTATAATCCAAATACATAGAAATGATATGGTTTGTGGCAAACACACTGACAGAGCTATTTCTTTTGTGAATTAGAGCACTTAGTGCTAATGTGAATCCATTTTTATTTTGCAGATGTTTTCCCCTCCTGTTAATAGTGGGAAAACCAGACCAACCACGCTGGGAAGCAGTCAGTTCAGCGGATCAGGTAAGATGTGGCTGAAAATACAGTAGTTGAGTGTGTGCAAAAGTATGTGCAAAACATTGATTTGTTAATGTAGCTTTGAAGCTTATGTGGATGAAGGATGTAGTCAAAATTATGTACACATGTGGCTGAAGACTGATTTTTCCAATCTGAGCTTTCCAAGGGAATTGCTGGTTGGGCTAAAGTGTTGATACTGCAGAATGGATTTAAAGGTTCATTCAACGGAGGATTTTGGTTTTGTGAAAGATCATGTGTTGTTTGCAAATGTATATATGCAGTTTTTTGGTACTTAACTATGATATTTGGGTGGCTTTACAGTATGTTTTAACACTTTAACTTATCATAAGTAACAGTTTAATTTGAGCAACACATAGTATCCTTTCTTTGAGGAGTTATTGTGATTATCTAATGTAATACAAACAAATGTGTAGTTAGAGCAAATTACTGATAAGTGAGAAATGGTGCTGTGTTCCTATAGCCCCCTATAGGAACCTATAGATTTAATAGGTAGGCAAAAAGGGAACAGATGTGTGTCGACCATACATATCTAGCTGATAGAACGGTGTGTGTATCGCTATGAAATAGAAGATGTTTGCTCATAGCATTTGCTGAGGAAATGAAATTTGAAATGATCTATACATTCACAGTACACATCTGTGGAAGAGACTGTTGTGTTTTTCCTGCCCCAAGTAGGATTTGTCCCTTCTGAGCTTTTTAAAAATGTTCTAAGTTGCAGTGTCAGCTGCAGAAAACAATAATTTGGTGGTCTTTCCTTCATAGAACTTTGTGCCTGAAATTTTTTAGGCATACTTGCCTCCCCCTCTCCATATTGTGTGTATGTGTATTACTGTATTCAAATACTAACTCATATTAGGCATAAGGTAATTGTTAATTCACAAAACAAAGAGCATTAGTCTGTTTTAATAGAATGATAGTGAGTTTGTATTTATAAGATAGCATCTTCAGAGGATTGTGTTGATCTGGCATACTTGTTTTCTATGAATTAGTCCAGTTATATGCCAGACAATACGCCATTGTTTTTGAAAGCACCATTGCCTTTTTATTTGTGCTGGGTTTTAATGGTCAGGATTAAGCAGCAGAATGGTGGTTATTTCTGCACTCCTGAGCAGTTTCCGCACACTTGCATGTAGACCTGGGTGTAACCTCCTTCAGTGAATGTTTAACATACTACATTGCTTTTACACTTGAATAACCCTTCTTTAAAGAGATTAGCCTCTGAACAAATAAAAAACAAGCAGACCAGTATACTAGTTCTGAGACTCGGAATATTGTGAAGGAGAATTTTATTTAAAAAAATCAAGTACTGCAAGAAGAGTAACTACTGATAATATTTGGATTGCTTTTAAAGTATGAAAATATAGATGTGTTTTCTTATAAATTGCCAGGTGTGAAAGTGGTGCTGCTCACATACCCACCCACCCAGTTGTCCAACCGTGGTTAAGTGATTAGGAACTCCTGAGTGACTTGGGTTTTATTTCTTACAAAATAGCAGTTCCTTGCATAGCACCACCTTAATCTTTAAATATTGGGTCCAATGACAATCTGCAGTGTGGGAGAATCTATACTACTGGAATCTGTACTGTGTTTCCAGTCTTTCAGGAGCAGTTGGCTTAGTAGACTACACATTGTCAAATAGCAGTCATAATGTTTATGGATAATGTCGTATGTCTGTATGTCATCTATTAACTGTTAGTTTAAAAATCTCTGAATCTCAGTGATTCTTTCATGTTATACATTCAGCTTCTTTTAATATGTTATATGAACCTGAAGTAATTCGTGGTTTTGAAAGTCTAGTAGTTTGAAACTGGAGCAAGACAAAACCTACCATTAACTGCAGTTTGAATGTGTATGACAGTTTCCTTGTAAATAGCCTAAGGTCATGTGACAAGGTTTGCCATCCTGTCCCACTTACACTGGAGCAAGCCTCATGGAATATACCAGGACTTGCTTTGAGGTACTGGCAGGATTGCAGTGTAACGTTTTGAGGAGCCCCTGTGGTTATGCTGCTAGTTGGCCTTAACATTGCTGATGGTGAAAAAGTGATGTCGCGGCCTTCATTTTAATTTCCTGTGCCAGGTCATCTCTGCAAATTTGTAGTTTGTCCCACTATCTCTTTCCTGATTTTTTTGTGTGTGCTAAATTGAAATGTCAGTTGATAGATCAACTTTTAAATAAGATTTAGGACCAATTTTTTGTTCCCCTCCTATGCTGCTTGCTTACATTTCCTCAGTGTGTCCTGTGTGCCAAGGATGTTTTAATTGTGGTGCTAGTCCAAATTTTTCTGAAAATGGGCCAAGATATTTTGAAGATGATTTGCCATTCTTAGGATGTGTATTTAGATAGAAAGCACAATCAAATGTTGTTTCTGAAACCTTTTCTGGTATATGAAACATGCCAATCTTGTTAACACATCCCAGTAAGAAAAACACTGAGATACTTAATTTAGGAATTGCAGGGATGTGCACAGTGAGCTGCTTCCTGTTTCTGAGAACAACCTCTGAATGGCTCATTTGCAAATTGTGAGCATGATATGTGGACCTGAACCAGTGGATGTTTAATAGGTTAATCACTGGGTTGCTTGGCCCTTAAACAACCCATTAGTCCAGGTTTGCATGTCACACTCACTACCTGTGATCAGGCTGACTGGAGGATGTTTACAGAAAATTGAAAGTAGCTTATAGACAGCACATACCCTGGGAATTCATAAGTTAATTGACAGCTTGCTGCCATGACATGTGGACTGGCCTACTCCCAACTGTGGCTTGCTGCCTTCAACTATTATCTGCTTCAGGCGGGATGGGGAAGGTGTATTGTTGCTGGCTTGCTTCAGTTCTGTGCTTTTCATGCTCACGGTGTTAGGATGTTCTTTGTCCTGCGCAAGATCGGAAAGCGACACACCGTCTTCTGATTACTGAAAAGCAGTACTTGAGCTTTCTGCAGCAGGTGTTCCACAGCAGTATTTAATAGAGATATACTGCTTTTTGCCTAAGTATTATTCTTCCATTGCTGTACAGCTGTCCCACAGAACAGGTTTCATAGTCATCCTCTCTTGTAACATAAATCTTTATAGCAGCTGGCTGTTCTAGTGCTGTCTGCATGTTAGTTGACATTATAGGGTTCAATTACAGTTATTTTCACCTTGAGAATACTATTTTGAAAGGCTGTACACTTTAAAATGTATTCTAATAGCAAATTGAGTTATTTGTTTTTTCTACTCCTGACTGCTTCCCAAGATGAAACCATGAAGGTATAAACCAATCTACTGAGTAAGGGTATTGATGGTAACTTTGGGGAGGGAATGAGGAGCACTGTGAGTTCAGTCAACCAGAATACAGGTATTTGCATTCTGATCATTCTGCATATCAGTCCTGAAGTTCAGTTGAGTAGGAAGAAGCAGGACTTGGTGGTTTATTCTCACAGCATATAAAAGTATGAGCTGGATTGTTTCATACTGTTGATAAAAAAAAGCTTCACAAGCTCTGTCTATGTAGTGTTCTTTACAGAAGCATTTTTAGCTTTGCTGTGAATGCACTGCATTTTAGAATATGGCAGCCTAAATAGTAGGCAAAGTAGGTCTTGCTCTGTTCAAAAGCATTTATTTTGTCTATCTAGTAATGAATGGAGTCTGAAATTGTAATTGGTTCATTAATATGTAGCTATGTATTCAACATAATATGGTATCCAGGAGGAATGTAGCTCTATTTCTGTTCCATTACAGTTTGTATTGCAATGCTGTTCTGCAGAAATATGATAGAAAGATGAGTTACTTGGATAGTGGGCCATATGGAATGCCTAGTAAGAATCCTTATAGCATAGGTGTGGAATGGAGATCAGAGTGATAGTCTTTAAGAAAATGTGATTGGAGTAAGTTTTAAGTGCCTTATAATCCTAATCTGAAATGGATTTTTCTGACATTGAAAGTTCAAGTTGAAGAGATGTTTCTGGTGGTATACCAGCCACTCAGTGCAAAGCAGATGTAGTTGCAGAACTGAATAAGCTTGGAATGGTTGGTGGACAGAGATTGGGTATAAATATTAATGGCTGCTCTGTTGCTTGTCTGGCTGAACTGCACAACAACATACTGACCTCAGCCATTGAAATTGTTTTCTTCAGAAACGGCCCTTATCCCGTCAGCAGTATAGTTTCTTTTATTCGAGAAGGACCTGGGGCAGGTTGGCTGAGAGCAAAGATGACTAAAATGAAGATGGTGTTTTTCTCAGTGGCTGAACAGTTGTGGAGCCTTTCTCTTTTCAAGACTGTCATGGCAGTAAAACAACTCCCCCTCCCCAAAATACCATAAAGTTGCCTTAAATGTTGCATCAGTCTGATACTCCCTCTGACCTGGTCTGGACTTTTTGTTCTTTAACATCCCAAGCAGGGGCCTCTTACAGCCCTGGAACTGAAAGGGTATCTTAACTGGAAGTGCCAGGGATTGCAAAACAGGTGCTATCTTGAGCTATGGCCTCTTCCCAGGTAACTTTGCTGCAGTTATTTCTATAAAATGCTATCCTGTGTGTCTGCATGGTGTTCCCGGTTGGGGTAGTTTCTGCTTCGAGTCAAATGTTTGCTGTTTACTTAATAGACTGCTTGGTGTAACAACAAACCTTTTTAGCTTGAATACTGTCAGAGATTGTGAGATAGGTGGTTTACTCTTACTTGATTATTGGAATCAGTTTGGTTTTATATTGGAACTACTTTGCCCCGTCTGGCTTTCAGTCACAGAGTCTGAGTTTGTTTGTTTGTTTGTTTTTTTTGGTTGACCACCTTAAACAATGGATTGCTGGATATTCATCAAAGTTATACTCTGTGGATTCTGTTAGAACTTTCAACGTGCATAATTTCTTCAATAATTACATGTTAATACAGTTTCATATGGACATTTCTAAAAATGCAGCTTGATTGGATAACATGTGGGATGAAATTGCATTATGCCAACAGAATGGGGAATGACTTTTGCTTGAGAAATAAAACGACAGTGCAGT